TGGTTGAGTGACCTTGGGCAAGTTACCTAACTTCTGTTTCTCTATTTCCTTAAATATAACATGAGGGTGATAATATCACCTACTTCGTGGGGTTAATATAAGGTTAAGTAGTATATAACATGTGCAAGTATATGTGTGTAGGAACCTTTAGCACATTGTGCTATATGCATTTAATCATTAAGAATTCTCAAACCACTCTCTGAGGTACATTATTTAACAGATGAAGACACTGAGGTTCAGACAGATTAAGTTGCCCAAGGTCACACAATTAGTTAAGCCAGATTCAAATGTTAATTCCAAAGCCTTTGCTTTGCAGTCACACTGCATCTCAGTAAACACTCAAATACTTATAAGAATCGATGACGAAATGTAAGTGCTTATTGATTATATATACAGGGGCCTGCCAACCCAGGAACCTGCTTATTCCTACTGGCACTACTTTCCTACTGAATCTGGACTATCGCCCACTTTAACCCCTTGCCCATCCCCATCATTTGCATGGAGACAGATCATGGCAACAGATTTGAGCATCAGACTACAGAAAACCAAAACACACTACTGAGTCTCCACTTTTGAGAAACAGGAGAGGACCTTTGAGATTCTGATTATTGGTCTTTGCCCATCAATAAGGCAAATGTGTTCTTTTCTAGATCTGTATCTTTCAGGGAACTGAGCCAACAGATTAGAGAAAATGGGTAAAGAGATTAAGTACCGAGGTATGTATGTGCTACCTTATCTACCTTACTCCCTAGAATACTCCTAAACATACTGTACATATATTTTTATTTTGATAATCATATTCACAAAAACACCTATTCTTGCTAACTCTAGAGTTCCTAGCTAATATATTTCTCACCATTCTATTGTGTCCAAAAAGAGTGAGCTGGTGCCCATGTTTCTTTCTTTCTTTATATATATATATATATATATATATATATATATATTATTGTTTTACAGAGAGGAAGGGAAAGGGATAGAGAGCTAGAAACATCAATGAGAGAAAAACATCTATCAGCTGCCTCCTGCACACCCCCTACTGGGAATGTGCCCGCAACCAAGGTAACATGCCCGACTGGAATCGAACCGGGGACCTTCCAGTCCGCAGGCCGACGCTCTATCCACGGAGCCAAACCGGTTATGTCTGGTGCCCATGTTTCTAATTCATTCCATCTAGTGCCTTATTTTTAAAAACAGAAAAGGTGTTTGTAGAATTTCCAGATTGGACTTGCAGAATTTCACAGTAATGGGAGAGACCAGAAATTGTTTCTATTCCTGCTTCGGCCAAGGACTGTAGCTGAGGCTGCTGGTTGGAGCTGAGCAGGCAGTTTGAAGCAGGTGACACAGATTGGTGTGTTCTTTTCAGTGACCTGTCACACTGTAGGACATGACATGAAAAGGTCCACCAACGTCCAAAGAGCAGCAAGAAATAGGATGTCCAACTCTCCAGCTACATTTTTAGAAACCAGTTCAATGGCTCTTGCCTCTCCTTTATAGACGATAAGAAAGTAGTGATCTGGAAAATTACAGATATGTTTTCTCCAAAGGCTCTCTTGTTGCTTCATGAGATAAAGTAGCCTTCATCAAAACCAATTACTCTTTATATTCTAAACAGTTCCTTCCTTTTTAGAACTGTTAGACTCATGCCTTTTCAAAGCAAAGCAACCTCTTGGCCAATAACTGTGGCTCGTTCAACTCTATTGCCAAGAGATAAACCCACAGTTATCCAGTCGGTGAGAAGGGTCTAGCGTAGGGGTGTCGAACTCAATCAGAGAAGGGGCCAAAATCTAAAATCCAGCCTAAATCGCGGGCCGAATGGTTTACTGAACAGTCATAAACTGTCATTGTGATGGAAACGCAGCGGAGTGCAGTGATGACAGCGCGGTGCGGGCCACATTGCAAGGCCTGATGGGACGGATTTGGCCCGCGGGCCTTGTGTTTGACACATGTGGTCTAGCGAATAAGTGTTTTACCTCTAAAATTTGCTCTGTGAGTGTGTGGATATAGGAGAGTGTAGATAAAAATTTGCCAGGGATGCCGAAACCAGTTTGGCTCAGTGGTAGAGCGTCGGTCTGTGGACTGAAAGGTCCCAGGTTCGATTCCAGTCAAGGGCATGTACATTGGTTACAGGCGCATCCCAGATGTGGCGGGGGTGCAGGAGGCGGCTGGTCGATGTTTCTCTCTCATCAACGTTTCTGGCTCTCTCTCCCCCTTCCTCTCTGTAAAAAAATCAATAAAATATATATATATATATTTTTTTTTTTTTAATTTGCCAGGGAAGCAATAAAGGAAAAAGATTAAACTATAGAATGCAATTTTATATAATAAACGTCTAATACGCAAATCAACTGAAAGTTGGAATGACCTTTGGAACTGGTTGCCTCTTGATTGCCCTGCTGGTAGCCCCACAGATCAGCCCAGATAGCCAGCTGGGCCTAGGGATCCTACCCATGCACAAATTTTATGCACCAGGCCCCTAGTTTTAACATAAAGGGTTTGGGAACTAGAGAGAGTAGTGGTTAGGGAATCTGGCTTAGAATCTGAAAACTCTGGACTCTGCTTAGTGTTTAACTTGGAGAAAACACTAGGAGAGCCTATTGCCTTCTCTGAAAATGGCGGTAACAGTGCACTGTCTCCAGGGTTATTATAAGGTTTAAATGAAATAATGTAAATGAAGGGCACACCACCAGGAGTAGGAACTATTATTAACCATTGGCCTTTCTTTGCACATCATTTTGCACTGACATTATTAGACTACTAACATTTACAGAGCACTTATAACTAGGCACAGTGCTGAGCTGTGGGTTTCATAGGAGAATTGAGTCTTGGGTTGATTATATTAATAATTCAGCCTTATGTTTGGGAGTATTAGTACTCTGTTCAGATTATTGTGAAGACTGGGAAGATGCCTCCTACGAAGGGTTTAGTAGTATCCAACAAATACAAAGTATTCAACAAAAGGCACACTAACATCAAGGGCAAGCCCCATTAGCCTTCATCACCATCACAAGGGTAAGAGGATTGACCTGAGCCTGTTTCTTCCTCCCCCATTTAGCACCATGCTTGGCGGCCAGCTCTTGCATCCCCTAGCCTAGACCAGGGACTTCGGCTATTCTGGAACAACTATGGAAGGACCCAGCAGCTCAAAGAGCCAGCACTCTAGTTTGATGGTTACAGGAATATTAGGACAGAGAAAACTAGTCAGACTGGCAGCTATCCTAACAAGGAGAAATAACCCAAAGGAAACTGATAATGCTATTTCTTGATCTAGACGCTGATTACAAGGATGTGTTCACTTTGAGAAAACTCAGCAACTTCTACAATTAAAGATTGTGCACTGTTCTGTATGAATGTTATGTTACAATAAAAGATTTTAAATAGTGACCGCCTCCTGCTCCATTATTCAAAGCACAAAACCAGCCCTTCCCAATGCGTGTACCATAACTGGGTTACAAACACAACAGGTCAGTCACCTGGGGCAGCAAGCAGCCTCATCAGCTTATCCCATGGGTAAGAAGTAAAATACTAAGGTTTTTGGTAAGACTAAGAGATACATCCAAACAACACCCTTCTCAATCACACAAGTTTACCTCAAGGTTCCTCCTGTGTTCCAGGCCATAGAGTCGACCAGACTCCCGATGACCCTATGAATGAGTGATGGCCACAATGTCCTATCCCCGACAGCCCTGCTCAGTTCCTGCAGACTCATACCCGTGGCTTCTTTTATGGAGTCAGTCCATCTCACAGTGGGTTTTTCTCTTCTCCTGCTGCCTTCTATTTTCACCAGCATTACTATCTTTTCCAAAGAACTCTGCCTTCTGAGGATGTGCTCGAAGCAGGAAGCAGGACAGCTTCAATTTTGTCATTTTTCCTACAGCGATGTTTCAGGCTTAATTGGCTCTAGGACACACTTACTCATCTTTCTGTGGTCCAAGGTATCAGAGAGCTCTCCTCCAACACCTGACTTCAAATGGATCCAGTTTTTTTCCTGTCAGCCTTCTTCACCATCCAAATTTCACATGCGTACATAGTAATTGGGAAGGCAAGGTTACCTATCTGAGGTTAATTTTATTTACTGAATTTTTGGTCAGATTTTTATCCTCTCCAACAAGGAGAGAGTACACTTCATTTAAGGGTCAACACCTCTAAACTCTTCATACAACTGAGAGTTAGTCTTTGACATCATTCCTTGTCTTACTCTTTATAACGAGCAAATGTCTAGTTCACTTCTCCTTTCTCCCCAATTTCAATCATTTATCAAGTCAATGAATATAACAGACCACATGCTGGTTTTTTCTTTGAAAGTTTATTGTTATTGTAAAAAAAAAAAAAAAAGCCTATACTTTTTACATTTTTACATTTACCTCTCAGAACATATAATGGTACCAGGTAATGGTGTTATTTTATAAAAAGCCCACCAGCTGCTTGAAATGGCTGCAAATTTTTTTTTACCATGTTCTGGTAATAAAGTGGTTTCAACTCTTTGGAAAAATTGGTGTAATATTAAATAAGTACCAATATTTCAAATTCCCAGCTTAGAAACAAGATTTTTAAATCAGGAGGAAATTTAGTAAAATTCAAGGCTAAAGGAAAATGTTAATAGAAAAACAAAAGAACAATATTGTAAAAAATAGGATTTCCCCCCCCCAAGTTAGATTTAAAAAATTGCAACCAACCCCCCCCCCCCCCCATATTTCTCTTAAAAAAGCCACCCAATGCTGAGCCCAGGGTCCCCCACACAAGAATATAAATAGCTTGATTTGCAGATCAGCCTCTAGGATCTTACACTGGCCCCAGTTAGAAGTTTTTTGTTTTGTTTTTTTTTTAAACTAAGTTATGTTAGGTAGTTAGACACCCACAAATACTGGTATTCAAACAATTTAAAATATCCTGGTTTTGGCATGGCTACCAAAATATGGAAACTGTTCAAGAGGCTTAGGGAGAGAAAGAGTTGGAGAAATATACAAAACCCTCAAAAGGAGGTAAATACTAGGACACGTGGATAGCAAACACTGTGTACTTGAGACAGATGCCTGGAGCTGAACACATGTATGAACAGGTTGTTGATCAGAATTACACATATCCAAGTTCTTCATCAAAAACACATAAATACAGGTTCTTGATCAAAAGTGTCTGCACCAACCTTTATCAAATATCATTTGCAAAAAATAGTTGAATTTGGGAACTCATCTGTGCCCTGGGTCTAGTGAGAGACAAAACTTTTAAAGAATGGCCAGCTAGGCTAAACGCCAGCCCCCTCTTATTATAGGAGTCACAAAATCTGTGCTCCCCTCTCATTCATTTCCCCATCACAAAAGCTCCTCCATCTCCTAATGAGTGGGTTCTTGCACTCCTGGTCACTGCAGAGGCATTGGAGAGGTTGAAATGTTGATTTTTTCATCTCTGGAGTAACTAAGTAAAAACTAATAAACCTTCTGGGATCGGGAACATACTTTACTGTACTAAATCACATTTTCCTTCATTTTCACTAGGATCCTGATTTCAAGAGTTATGAGAATACGAGGGGCAAAAGGCAGTCATGGGGCCAAGACCATGCCTCCCCAAGGCCCCAACACCCTCAAATTTACAGAAGAGAAAAGGCAAAAGTGTCCAGATCCTGGTCATCAAATAGTTACTTCACAAAAACACCAGGCAAGGCAGGGAAAAGGGCAACTTGCTGCTCAATGTTGAATCCCCAACAGTTACCAATACAATCCTTTCCCCCCAAAATCAAATTCTGGTGTGCTGTTAGGAAGACAAGTTAATACAATCATTAAAACAAACAAAAAAACCTCTTTGATGGCAACACATACTAAATATATCTAAATAATTTCCATCTCAGGGCACTAGATGACAACCAGTACCTGCCATTACGGAATGTTACACACACCACAGTGACAATTCAGGCAAGAGAGAAACCTCAAACGGCCACGGCTGCCAAGAAGAAACAAAATGTGAAACCCCACTTTACTGGGGATGTGGTTCACTGAAGTCAACATCCTAATAATGGGAGGGCCTGGGGCAGAGAACAAACACAAAAGGCCCAGGCAACTTTTGATGAACAGCACTCTTTATCCTGTTTTTAAATGAAACTCCATCGCCAGAATAAAAAAATGGAAAAAAAAATAGATTATAAATTAAAACAAAAATATATCTGTACAAGTCTTTACTCTGAGTCAGTAACGTTTGGTCTCTGTCGAAGGCAGGACTTCGGAGGTGATGTACCTGTGATCACAGCCCCATGACTTGCGACTTGTGTTGGGGTGTGAACATAGAGAGACAACACGAAGGGAATCACTTGAGACCAAGGGAGCTATGTACAAAGGTTTCCTAGGACATATCAAGTCTACTCATTGCCCACAGAGATGCTAGCACGTGCTTTGACCCCTAAAACTTGGTAAACATTATCAGGTGGCAACTAGAATACAACAAACCCCAGAACCCAACAAGTCATTCTCTCGTTGTAGGAATGAGGAAAAGGGAGCAAGGAGTGATTCTTCCAATGAATCAGAACTCATTAGGAAGAGTGGGTTTAGTGGCAGCGAGCACAGCCTTCTGTCCTCGACCTGGGCCAGACCTCCAGGAGGCTGCGAGTGCTGACAACAAGGTTCCACGGGTTTGGAATGGCCAATGTGCAATAATGGGATCGGTGACAAGAGTGCAATTTGAATTATGAGTGAGAGTCTTTTGGTAGCTGCAGACTCTCATTCATCAATCTCCCTCCCAAACTTAGATAACCCAGATAATCAGCCTGTGGTAGGTCTCTTCACCTACTGGGTGAGGGAAAATTAATTGCAAATGAAATTGTCTGAAATGACCACTTCTTGTTTCCAGCTCAAGCTGGAACGAATAAACTACTTGTGTATTAAATAACATTTAAAATATGATATCTTCAGCACATTATGAATATGAAATGTCCTTCCCCCCAGCCCCAATTACTTCAGTGCACACAGTCCCTCAGGCAAATTTTTCTGTCGTTCAGCCAGTGGAGTGGATGGCACACGACAGATGTTCCACAAGGCATTTATTTCTCGGAGAAGGCTGAGAGCCAGCAGAATTAATCTCCTTCTGCAAGGACCTCTGCCCCAAGCTTCTGGGGAAACACTGAATTAGGCTCGACAAGGGAAATAGATACATGATCCACTAATCAGATTCAAAACATGAAAATCCATTGTTGAGTGTATCCCTTCCTGCTCCTCTTCATGGTAGAAACACATAAAGATAATAAAATTTAAAAAAAGTCCCTTCAAACTCAAAGGAAGCTTGGGGGGAGGCGGGGGGAGAGAAGAGGGGGGATGACAACAAAGCCCAGAGTTAAATTTCCAATATGCCTGAAAATAAAATCGTCTTATGTGACTGATGAGGGGAAGAAGTCGAGGAAGCAAAGAATGAAACAGAGATGGGAGCCACTGGCCACGAAAGTGCCTTGCAGAATCCACAACAGTGTTTTTCATAGTCCAAGGCCAAGGAGCAATTCCCAAGTTAAAAACTTTCTATTAAAAAGAAAACCAAAAACCACTTCAGAAAAAGGGTCAAGGGAAGAAGCGCACTGTAGAAAGTCAAGCCGCTGACCTCCGGCGGATCACGAAGAGCCCACGATGAAGCTGGCCCAAGTAAATCCTCATCTTGGTGCTGTCACTGGTCTTTCTCACCCAGATCTGCAGAGAGGGAAAGAGAAAGGCTGAGAATGATAAGTCTTCCAGAGCATAAAAATATTTGCATAAATTAGGTGTGGGCAGAAAACTGGCAACCTCTTCCGGTCAATTTGCAAGGACTTCGAAAGCACCTCCTTGACCTTTGGCTCTCCTAAAGGCACGCCTCTAATGTAGACAGTTGGCATCAACCTTGAACTCATTTCTCCCAGCCATCTCTCTTACACCTTCAAGAAAATGGAGCCCTATACTCAGTGGACCCAGCGTTAGCCTGTGGACTGAAGAGTCCCAGATTCAATTCCAGTCAAGGGTACATGAACCCCAGTAGGAGGTATACAGGAGGCAGCCGATCGTTGGTTCGTTCTCACTCATCAGAGATGTTTCTTTCTCTCTTTCTCTGAAATCAATTTTTAAAAAAAATTTTTTAAAGAAAGAAAATGGAAAGCACAATGATACTGCATTCCATTTAGCATTGATCTTAAGGGCTCTTTTTTATTTAGTTTGACTACAAAGTTAATCAACATTCAAGATACACAGATTCATCACTTTCGATCAAATTAGGAAATATTTTGACAGTCCTTCCCTCCAACCATATCGTTTTCCCACAGAGGAAATAGCATGTTTTGCATTTCACAGGCAGACACTTTCTTCTGTAGAACTGAGAATGAACCCTGCAGCAGGGATCTGCCCGGCTGACAAGTGCACTCAATGAGGAAGGAAGGAAGAACTGGCACACCTCAACAAGGAGCTACCGTGGGCCAGACACTGCTGGTCAAGTTGAGCCTCCTCCACCTCAGGCACTCCTCCTATCCCCTGACAAAGTTAAGTACTAGCATCGCCCCCCCTTTCATAGAACAGCGAGGCTAAGTCATGTGTCCTCTGTGAACCCTGGCATCTGACATCAAAGCCCTTGCTCTTCTCCACTAACCCAGCCCCTGACTCTTTTCATCAGTTCTCTCGTGTGTTTAATTAACAATGCAATTAGATGAAGCCAAAAGCATTTTTTTTTTATCTGCATCACATATATACAAGTACAAGTTTACAGACATATATTCTACCTCCCCTGCTTAATTTTCAGGTTTTTTTTGTTTTTTGTTTTTAAGTTTTCAGGTTTTAAAAAGTTTATTCTCAGTTTCTTTACTGTGACTATTTAGCAACAGACTTTATTTTTAAACCAGTGGGTTGAACTTTAAAGTTAAAGTCCTTGCATGAATCGGAATCTCTAAGAAACCATTTTCAACTAAAAACTGACCCCAAGGAGGGCTGAACTGGGAAGTCACCAACACGTTCAGATGTGCCCACAAATCTGTACAAAGTAACGTTATGCAAAGGCCAAGCAGCTCCACTGCCACTTAGGATGTGACCTGAAACATGAGCTGGAATACTTCCAAGAAGTGAGAAATATTTTCCTGTCCCCAGAGTTGCGAGCCTCTAATGCACTGAAGCGTCTCCCCTCCCGGAGACATGCCTCAATGTCACTGTTTCCTTGTCAGACCTCACTGACACTCTATTATGTCAAAGGGTAACAATATTCAACACAGAGAGAGAAAAATCTAACTTGCATTTCTATTTTCCTGAAAAATCTTGAAGAGTCAGAGAGAACAGTGCACTACACCTGAAGTTGGGTTTAGGTACTAGGAGACCGCACGCTAGGGACAGCAGTGCACACGGCCACGTGCAAAACTCCGATGTGAAATGACAACACTTGCTGAGCAGCAGGTGTTGTTTATTAGATCGCCTGTTCTGGTTTTGACTTGGCTTGAAGTGAAACAGATCCTGAACCCAGAGAAGAATGACATTCATTTTTCCGGAAGGCTCTCCCTAACTTGTAAGTAAACAATCATTATGCAAACTAGTCACATTTAAGGGCATTTTCAATTCAGAAAGCTGGGAGAATAGAAGAGGCTTAAGTTATTTCATAATCCAGTTTCATTAGATTTGTTGTGCATTTGTACAAAAGTTAGAGGGTAGACACATAAAAATTAATTTTGCTGCAAACATTTGTGGACTGATAAAAGACTGAGCCAAGCCAATCAGCATTAAAGTTTAACACTTTTTTTTAACTACTAATAATGCAGGTTACACACTGCTGACACCCTCCTAATGAAGGGTCATTCGGAGAACTCACAGGCCAGTCATATCATCCTTGAGCATAACCCTGTGAAATAACTTTACAACCAGTCCCCATCCTAAAGGGGGAAACCAACACTGAAATGGAAGCTCATTGTTCAGAGGCACAACAGGACATGTCAGATTAGAATAACAGCAGGCAAGGAGTAGTGTGTGGGTCAGATCAGACCAATATCCATTTACTGAGCACTTACTGTGTGCCAGACCCTGTGCTAGATGTCTCGATACAACTTCACGGCACAAAACAAATCCATCAATACACATAAACATTCTAGAGAAAGAACAGACGTAGATTGAGTATGCTCCATAGTCAGGCTCAGTGTATGGTTACCTTAAAAAGCAGCAGGATTTGAAAGCACAGAAATCACACAGACTTGCCTTTTTGTTCACTTTCCTGTTGTCTAACAAGTGGTTCCCAACTCAATTATTGCACAGATAGTTCACAGATACCATAAGGCAGGGGTCTTCAAACTTCTCTCATTATGAGAATCACCTGGTGGAGGTGTTAAAACACAGATTCCTGATAGCACTTCTTATAGTTGGGATCCGGGAATCTGTGTTTTAACAACTCCACCAGGTGATTCTCATAATGAGAGAAGTTTGAAGACCCATGCATAAGGAATACACTATCCACCTGTACTGCAGTCAAGCAAAGTAAGGAACCCTTCAAGGGTGATTTTGCCTACATGTAGTTTCCGCCTGAAAGCGCTGAATTAGACTCTAACCCACATATAACACATGACTCCACTGCACTTTCTCAGTGGCCTCCCCCTGAGAGCAGGTTGTCACCTTTTGCTTTCCTAAAGGGTGAGGGAGTTTGGTCCCTACCTCATTGGCTCCGACAGAGCTGATCACACAGCTCAGTTTCTGGTTGTCCTTCGACTCCAGATAGATTGCTTGGCTCTTGTGGTACCTGCCAAAAACGGACACAAGTTTATTCCTTTAACCACTTCACTGAAGTATGACTGAAATATAAAGTGCTGTACATATATTATGAGTTTGGGGATAAGTATACACCCGCGAAATCATATCACCATCAAGACCATAGACATACAGGGGTGGACAAAAGTCAGTTACAGTTGTGAGTACACAAACCCGGTTTATTTTGTATTACTATTAGGTCTAGTAATAATTAATGTCGTTTTCTAATACTTTTTTTAAATCGAATTTATTTAAACAATAAAATTTAATCAACAATATAGTTGCCGTTGTTTTCTACTACTTGTGCCCAACGCTCAGGAAGCATTTTAATACCTCTGTTGTAAAATTCTTGTGATTTTGATGCAAAAAATTCGGTCAATGCATTTTTGAGGCATTCTTCATTATTAAATTTTTTTCCAAGAAGAAAGTTTTGCAAAGAACGAAACAAATGGTAATCGGAAGGGGCAATATCAGGAGAATATGCAGGTTGAGGGAGAACTTCCCATTCCAACTGGCGCAGTTTTTCAGCAGTGATTCTTGCAGTATGCAGTCGTGCGTTATCGTGGTGAAGAATTACGCCCTTCCGATTAATCAGCGCGGGGTTCTTTTTCTCTTAAAGCTTGGGCTAACCTTTCCAATTGGGCACTATACACTGCACTTGTAATGGTTTGGGTAGATGGTAAAAGTTCATAATGAAGAATTCCTTTAAAATTCCACCAAACACACAACATCACTTTTTTCGCATGCAAGTCAGGTTTTGGCGTGGGCTGCGGAGCCTCATTTTTGTCCAACCATTGAGGCCGCCTTTTCAAATTAACATACAGCACCCATTCTTCATCTCCGGTAACAATTTGCTCTAAAAACGGCAAACGGTTTTGACGAGAGAGGAGCGAACTGCAAATTGTGACTCTTTGATTACGGTTGTTGTCGGTCAACTCATGAGGAACCCATTTTCCAAACTTTTGGACTTTGCCAAGTGCACGCAATTGATTGGAAATTGTTTTTTGTGAACAATTTAAAGTTGTCGCAAGCTCTTGTTGGGTAATTTGAGGATTTTGCACCAAAAGAGCTTGAAGAGCTTTTTTTTTTTGCTTTTTTTTTTCTTTTTTTTCGAGCCTGAAGAGCTTCTTGATCAAAATTGGACACACGGCCTCGACCACTCTTGTCATCTAACGAAAAATTTCCCTCGCGAAATTTCTCAAACCAACGCTGACATTTTCTGGCGCTAACTGCATCTTGACCAAGAGCACTACAGATGTTTTTTGCAGCCTCACTTGCTTTTCTTCCTAATTAGAACTGGTAAAGCATACAGTGCCTAATATGCTCTTCATCTGCCATCTTCTTAGCCCTAGTTTTGCAACAAAAACCAAACCAAACACAAACTTTTTCAAGCAAAACTTGTTAATTGCACTTCACACGTTCTGTAGATACCACGTGTTTGAAGGTTATGTCAATACAAGTCAATGCCAAGCAAGATTTTAAACGAATGTTAAAAACGACATTAATTATTACTAGACCCGATATTTATTACCGTTAACCTGCATTTGCCTACACATGTATATGTCACCTCCCAAAGCTTCACCCTGCCCTCTTTATTGTGATTGTTTTTCTGTGGGCGTTTTTGTGGTAACAACATTCTACATAAGATCTACCCACCTGAAAAATTTTAGGTATAAAATATACAGTACTGTTAAAGGCACAGATATTTTTTAGGAAGAAAGGAAGAACATATCATCAGAATAAAAAATGTAATTAAAGGAGACCTAATTGACATTTGAGAAAGAGTCTGGATTTCAGATTTAATTTAAAGTCTTCCAACCTTGGGTTAGAGTAGATGATTATCTCCTAATCTTCTAAATTTATATTCCTTGGTCCCTTTGCAGTCAGGAAAGGGGAGGGCAAGAAAAGGGCTAGGAAATTAACTCTATATTTGCTTTTTTTTTTTTTAAATATATTTGTTTATTGATTTCAGAGAGGAAGGGAAAGAGACAGACAGACACATTAATGATGAAAGAGAATCATCGATCTGTTGATTCCTGCATGCCCCACACTGGGCATGTGCCCTGACCAGTCATCAACCATAATCGGTTTCAAAGGTTGACACTCAACCACTGAGCCATGCACCACACCTAGCTATATTTACTTTTTTACTTGAACTATATGACACAGTTCAAAAAGTAAATTATAATTTTTCAAGTAAAACTTGGTTTCACCCCCCAAAACATTAAAGACTGGGTGGTTAAAACAATAGAAGGGCTGAAAAACTGGTCTGTTATCTTGTAATTGTCCAAATAAATCACCAATAAGAAGGTCAAATCCAGCCTTTACTTTGGCCACTCATTCAACAAACACTCATTAATCACTCATTGTGTACTCTATGTTGGAGGCTGGAGGCAGACAGTGAAGAAGGCAACAAGGTCCCTGCTGCCATGGAACTTCAAATACAATGCAGCAAAGGAGATTAAATAATCACAACTGACCAGCAGTCACTAGGTGATGTGCATCAGAGCATCTAACATGGCCTGGTCAGTCAGGACAGTTGCTCTGAATGTAGTGAACATGACGGACACTCCCCTTTCAGCCTCTATATCTAGTCCCCTGGGCTATAGTGAAGGACCGCCTTTGACTTCTACAACTGCAGGACAAGGCCAAGGATAAAAATGAGGAAGCCAGGGAAAAAGCCCAAATGAGAAATAGCAGCTGCCACAGGATGAAGGAGCAGCTGCTGGATTACAAAAGCAGCTAAACTGCTACTGGCAGCCCTGGCCTGGACCAGTCCCTGTTCAGTCAAGAACATCACCGTTGGTTCATTCTGGCCACATAGACCTGGCTTAACAGACCCACTAACTCAAGCAAGTTCCACCAAAAACAAAATGCATCTCCCAACAAAGCACTGCTTCTTATCATTATTTCCGTAAGAGAAGAAAGCAAACTATTTTACCGGCATAATAAAGTAATCTACTGCCAAGACATTACTAGTAAAGGATGTAGTTCACTTCCACAATCAGCTTTTTCCAATCTAGGCTCTAAGCACTCTTTAACCTGCTACTTAGGAGCTAAAAACTCAGGTTTCCAAGTCAACTGAGTTCCTGAAAACACTGCTAAAAGAAATTGAATCCTAAATGCAATTAGAACAGCAAAAATGGTTTAGATCCAGCTTCAAAGTGGCTTTTGGCGAGAGATTAATATTGCAAGGTTCGGCTTCCACAGTGCATGAGGAAACTCAAACTAAAGTTTCCCCCCCCTCATCTAATCCAACTGCCCTGTATAAATGGTTAGAATAAAACTATAGCGGGGAGAACATTCACAACTATTGAATAGGGACTGTGATTTATTACAAGATAATAGGCAACTAGCCTCAAGTCATTCTGACACTACTTTCTAAATAAAGGAAGGTCATGGATGTGGTGCAGAAGTATATTACTAGTGTGGAAACATGCTCAATAGATTGCTAAATAGAGGAAAATAACTATGTCCATATGTTCCTGTGTATGTAACAAAACATTTGCATATTACATGTGTATCATACACCCAGAAAAAAATGGTTAATTTATAAATTAAAATGTATATTAAAATTTTATTTAAAAAAATTTAAACTAAGAATGGTATTCCTTTTATTGCACAGTTTTCTTTTTTCAAAAATAAACAGGCATTACTTATATTAAAAACTATGTAGTATCTTCTTAAGTCATGGTACTGGACAATACCCAAATAAGAAAGATGGGGTAAAAAGAAAATTTAATGTCACAAATTTTATCCTAATGTCTGTTAAAGACACATTAACTCAGGGAGACTATTCAAACAATTCTCCTGAGATATGCTCAGAGGCCAAACCCCCACACACCTGACTGGCTTAAAAGTGAGCATTAGGAGTAAACAATGCAATCCAGTCTCTCAGCCCTGAGATATGGTCTGGGAGGTAAGTATCTGGCCACCTCCCAGTGTACCTGCTCTGGAATCACCAAATACATGGTGGTGGCTTGAATGTCCATCAATGGTCACTATTTGCTCCTGGAGAACTTCCAACTCAACTGATTCGCTGAAGCAGAGTTTTTGGGACCTCCAGGGGATACTTATGTGCCACATCATAATGGCCTTGGGGAACCATCACCCCTGGATATCAAATCTATTAAAATATCTGAATTCTATGAACAAATAAAGTGCTCATGTGGAGGGTGGGGTATTTTACAGATGAAGCTAAAAGTACATGACAACCTTAAAATACAAATTTACTTTCCAATTTCTAAAGACTAATAAAAGAGCAGAAATTCAAAATAGATTTAGACATAAAAAGATGCTCAAAAGTAACATCAATCGAGCTACAGAAGTAAAAATGTACATTATCACTTTTTTGCCAATTAACCCATTTTACAAGCTACAACTCATTTCTGCTGGGGGAAAAAAAAATAATAATAATAACTTAAGTAGCCTCAGAGGACAAGCCCCAAATGTCAAGCTAACTTTATTACTAATGGAAATTCTGACCTGGGAATCCCTGCAATTAAGCTCTTAAAGTTTTGCCACTACTGTTAAACCCAATGAACTAGAATCACCACTACTATTATGGAAGAAAGCAATTTCTTTAGAAAGGTGGGTCAAAAAGTGGGGCAGGGAGGAGGTAGAACTTAATTTTGTATCCTACTGGGAATCCTCACATTAAGTTTCACTTCAAAAGAAAAGACCATGTCACAGCTACAGTACCTCCAGGAGCCCCAATTCTAGTTGGAAGCATTCACTGTTTTAACAGTGTTGTCAGCTGAAAGCTAGACGGTTAAATCCACTCAATCGAGTGCGTGACTTCATTTCTGATTCACATTAGCAGCCCCAGATTTAATGTGAGGAGAGAATCAACAGTCTGCCAGCACCAGCAGTTAGTTATTTTAAAGTATCAGCTACTTTCACAGTACTTCCTAAGAAGGGTCATTAGTCCAAATCAAAATGTGAGGAAAACTTACAGCAGGATATAAAATGCCTTACACGCAGTATGTATAAAACCAAGGCAAAGGGAAGATGCTTATCTTTCAAAACGAAATGTAGCTTGATAAGTGTTCTTGCCAAGATGGGAAGCACGAATCACACTCATTTTGCTTAAGTCATTTAAAACTCAATGAAACATGTTTTGCCAGAAGTACTTTTGCCAAAATACTCCACACCACTGGAAAGAACATAAAAGTGATTCAGTTGACCTCTCAGCCACAGGCCATGATGCTGAAAAAAGAAAAATGGCAGCCTCCAACTGACAGGGACACAAAAGGCAAAGAGCAGAGCCTGGAGAGATACGAGAAGCCGGTCTGTATAGGTAAACGTGGCGGCCAGGACTCCCATGAACACCTTCCAAATGCAGAAGGCAGGGACCTACTGAAACAAATGTGCTTGAACTTGGACTGCCAAGGCCAAATAAGAGAAACACACAGAACACAAAAGAAAACAAGTCTCAATGTTTAACAGAATAAAAGCAGCTTTAAATTCACTGAAAAAGTAAAATGCTCCCAAAGAATTTATTTTAAAATTTTCTGGCGCCATTATGAGAAAGACTAAAATTCCTTCAAAATGCTTAGGAGGTCTAACACAGCAAACCTGGCCACTCTTTACTGTAGGTCCTTTCTTTATAAAAACAAGAATTTTATTTTACCACACTTTCACCCTTAAGACTTGTCTCATAAAATTGAAGGATTAAGCCTTAGAAAGAGGCAGAACTGAAGCAACACAATTATAAAATGAACATTATTTGAAAGATCATATGGCTTTAGGACTCACAGATCCATAAAAATATTAGTGATAAACCTCATCATTTTTGAAGATGTTTCTTATGTGTGAGCTAGATCTTTAAAGGCTATTTGGTTTTCATTATTTGAAACATTTTTCATTGTATTTTGCCTCCAGTGTGTTGAACTGTTAGTGCCTGCCACCTAGTGGTGGTATGTTCTGGTAACCAATATTAAGAAGACACAAGATTGCCAAATAGCCAAATGAGAAGGGCAGGAGACACTAAGATCAGGCTTTACAGATAGAGCAAGCCTTCATCATCCACTGGATAATTAACCCACTATAACTAATAAGCATAACTTATTTATTTCAGGCATGACCAGATCACTAAGCATTTCTGCCAATTTCGGGAGTACAATATTATTAAGGTAACTAACATAATGTTGGTTTTTTTTCTTTAAGAAAGCTAAAAAATTTCTAAGTAGCCATTACTCAAATTTTGAAACCTTCCATTAAAAAAATATACGGAATCTCAAAAGGTCATTATATAGAGATATTATAGAACATACAATAACCCAGGAAAACATCCTGCATATAACCAAGTAGAAAGGCAAAAGAATGCAAATGTTTCTACCATCCTATATTATAAAAGGCTAATATGCAAATCGACCAAACGGTGGAACTACCAGTCACTATGATGCTCACTGACTACCAGGGGGCAGACACTCAACACAGGAGCTGCCCCCTGGTGGTCAGTGCGCTCCCACAGGGGAGTGCCGCTCAGCCAAATGCTGGGCTCATGGCTGGCGAGCGAGGTGGCCATGGCGGGAACCTCTCCCACCTCTGCAGCAGCATTAAAGATGTCCAACTGCCAGCTTAGGAGCAGGCCTAAGCCGTCAGTCAGACATCCCTCAAGAGCTCCCAGGCGAAGAGGCAGGCTGGGGTGAGGGACCACACCCCCTCCAAATGCACGAATTTCATTCACTGGGCCTCCAGTGACTTACTAAACTAAAAGTATGCCACATGTGGATAATGAATAACGGAATATATCAGAATTAAAAGAGCTGTGAAAAGGTGATAGAATCCAGGGTGACTTAATATCTAGCATAATGCCTAGTTACAGAGCAGATAGTAAATGTTTGCTGAATGAGTAAATGTATGAACTTTTGGGGTTCTTTCATATTATTCTGCCTTTTTATTTCCAATGGCATACTGGTGGTGTGAAGATTTCCACCAGTCTTCGATCTAAACTAGCAATGTTTTAGGACACAATTCCCCCAAGAATGTTTCCTAGAACACTCATGCAGCAGGATGACATAGGGGAAAAGGGCCCTCACCAAATAAATAACCTCTGCCAACATCTCAGAATGTTAGCAGAGGTTATGTATTTGTGCATCAGCATAAACCCAGTCTACAGGGACATCCCAGAAGATGTAAGGCTGCAAATCCTAGTGTAATAGCAGCAGCATGGAGAAAGGAGGGCCACGTTCTAGAAAAACACAGCCTTCAAAGATCTAACAAGTAGCATCAACCAAATGATTCCTGATGCACGTTTAAATGTGACTCCATATTTATTACTATGTATGTTAAGCAGCTGCCATGCTCTCAAACAACAACTGTAGACAGGCCCAGCTCTCTCTCCAAATGGTTCTTCTGAGATTCTTACGAGTAATCTGTGTTTTTCCACAACAATACCTACCATCTTTTATCATAGTACAATTTGCCATCTTCTATCCGGGCTTCAAATCTCTGGGCTTGAGACTCAGCTGGTGTAGCAGGCAAGTGTTCAGGAGAAGAGGGGGATACTGGAGAAACCAATGAAATATTTCAATGACTAAGCATGTAACAAACATGTGAGTCCGCCAGCTAACATGCTTTAATTGAAATGCTATTAAAAAGTACTAATAATCATAATCATCAATCCTTACAGTTGTAATAAATGGGAATCCAATAAAATTCTTGTATAGTACATCTTATGATCCTCAAAGCAAACCTGTGAGGTAAGCAAGGAGAAGATTAACCTCACTGAACACAGGAGAAACCTGAGGCTCAGGCAGGCTAAGGGATTTGCCCAAGGTCACTTAGAGCAGAACTAAAATCCCAGTGATCCACCTAAGCCCAAAGGGCAAAAATTAGATACGTCTTTTTAAATTTACTAAAAATGAAATAATTTCTAGAAATATTTATTACTAGGTGGAGCAAGTCAAGCTAAGACAGTGCTAGTAACTACGATGGGTTTAAACAAACTAAATTCACACACTCACTCCAAGAACCCTTTCCCCATCATGCCTTCAGACCCTCTCTGTGGACCTCAGGAGGAAATTACTTTAAAAAATAAATTTAAAAAAAAAGACTCTTGTTTTCTTCCCCAAGATATGGTGAGTAGAGGGATGTGTGAGTAATCACAGTACTTAAAAGCTTTGCAGTCCAGAGTTCCCTCTAACAGCCCAGCACTGACTCGAGTGCTGCTCTAGAAGAAAGCACCGTGAACACTGGGCCAGCCTCCTCTATAGGCTGGCACTGGGGGCAGCTTGCGAGTTCCTGACCAGAGCCGGTTCCTGAAAAGCACTGCAACAGCAGTGGCTAGTGCTTAACTCCACAAAGCGAGTAATACTGACATGCCCCTCTGGTTTCATTTTCAGAACGGGTGTGTACTTAAATATTATAGCCGATGCCCACACAGAAAGAAAACCGTTACCAGCCAACCAATCAAATGTCTCTTTTACAATAAATTTAAAGGAAAAGACAAACATAACTTGAACACAGCAGGGTGTAAAAAAAAAAAAAATCAAGAGAGGGTGCACTAAAGGTTCCCCTTGGCTTTCATGATTCCCTTACTAAATGTCAGTGTCAGTTTTATAAAAGAAATCACCACCACCACCCCAGTCCATTTAGACAAATGATGAACACTTTCTTTTTGAAAATGGCAACAATTCCCTGTCAGGTATTCGCATGTTTCTCCAAAAACATGATAAAAAAAAAAACAAAACACTACACAAATGCCAATAATGTCATGCACTTACCTGGTCTCTTGGGTGACTTAAGCTGTAGAAAGAACAACAAAAAGTCTTAGAGAAAATCACTTCAGATGCAACTTACAGTGTCAAAGGTATCAAACTGATTTAACAAGTAACACGTGAACAAAGTAAAGCTGAAAACCATTTCAACCCTGAGATTTCAAATAAATCAAAACTGTACCTTATTTAACGTTCTCAGATCCTCCATGATCTGTTCATCCGTTAACAAGTAGTTTAGCTGGGGTGTTGCGAGTTAAGGAAATGTGTTTGAAAGGCAGTTTCCAAGCAAACAGAATACAACAAAATGGAAGCAGTATTTTAGTTCACAAAATGTGATTATGTAACATGACATTTTTACAATGATAGCTTGTTTCTTGGAAATTTTTGATTCTCCTACTGTCATGGCACTGGGTATACAGAAGAATTCATACCTCCCATCTTACAAACTTCAGTGATGCAAAGGTGGAATGAGCGTCAACAGGTAACTACAATAATAGTGTGCGCAGCACACAAGAGAATAACTTCATCCTGAACTTATAAAGTGCTTTTGTTCCAAAGATCTGAAGACTTCACTCGGGGTTACTCTTCCCTCGCAATTTACATTCTCAGTTGTAAAGAGAAAGGAACCTGCAGTTATGCCCTTTCCTGATGGCAGACAAATAATTGAACCATTTTATGCAAAAAGCTATTTATTAGATCCTCAAGAGGACGGAAACAATACTTCCCCACATGTCCTCTTCCCGTTCCCATTTTTATGACTAAAGGGGCTTCCTTATGACTGACTGAAATCTCACTTGCTTTAATTTAACAAGTTTGCAATCCAGGGATACAGATAATTGAGGCAGAAAAGCCAGCTATCACTGTCCTCATTATACAGGTAAAAAAAAAATTAATGCACTTGAAATTTTCAGTTGCCCCTGAATCTCCAAGTATTAAAACAGGTTGAACTTTCAACACAAAGTACCTTACCAAATAACTCTCTCTATAAATCCTAATTGCAGTAGCAATTGAGGACCCTGATCATAAAATGGCCACACCCTGCTTTCCAATCACATCCAGTACGACTTTTTTCTGCAGGACAAGAGCCATGTGTATTCTGCCAAATGGATAAGCAAAGGATTCGATGGTCTGAAAGAGGGAAAAGTGATCGAGGCCTGATGCAAATGGATATCAGGAGCAGGTTTTCTCCTCTTGTCTGGAATGGGGACAGGGTCATTTGGTCGCCTCCGCAACTTTCTGGTCATGATGGGTTTCACTTCCATAGAATCTGTGAAAAGAACACAATGATAACTCTATCCAGTCCCCACTGAAGTGCGAATTTCTATAATGTAAGAATACCTGCCCCAGAGCCACCCAACCACAGTTTTCCTGGGGATGTCTGGTCCACACATGGCCCAACCCAGACACCCATGTCAGACGTTAGAGGAGGTCATACTTAGAAGATTCAGACCAGCTGACCTAAGTGTACATCCTGAACCGCTTCAGGAATCTCTCCAGTACCCAGAAAACCAGGGATTTTGCTCCTCTTCCCACAAATTTAAAGAGGCCACAGAGTCGCAGGCTCTGGGATTAGAAGGATCCTTTGGGCCATCTCTGTGTACTAACTCCTGCTGTTCCCACAGAGGGTGGGTGAACGGGAGCTCACTGGAATACAAGGCTCTTTTCGCGGCCAGTGGCCTCAGTGCCAACTATTTTATATGAGATCTTCATTTACAAACACGAACTCTTTATCTTATTTAATAACCATTTGTAGCTACTTGACTATCAAGAATGATACAATGAAGGCTCATAATAAAGGCCTCTCTTCATTCTTCTTGGCTTTTCTCTGCCAAGTCCGATCTGGGTGCTGACTCCCTTGCCTTAAAATCTCTCCTCCCCAGCTACTGCCACACAAATCTCTCCTCTCTTGACATGCCCCTCTGAGGTCCTTTCTGCTGGCCTGCCCCTTTAAAATGGTGATCTCTGGAGTCCAGTCAGTCTCAGCCTGTTTTCCCAAGGAATCGCTGATCATCAATTCCAGCTCCACCCACCCTTCTGAAAGGCCACCTGTAGCCTACACCACCATATCCTCTCCAAGCGCCAAACCAACCCATTTCTTCTTGTTTCACCTCCCAAGGCTGCTGCTTCTCCTGTGTGTCAGGGGCATCACACCTACTCATCCTTCCAAGCCAGACAAAATCTGCCATTTATGACTTGTCTTCCTTAATCCAGGTATCAAATCCAGCTGATAATAGCAATTCTGCCTTTTAACTACCTCTAAACTCTAACCCCTCATATCATCTCCCTCAAAGTGGTCTTCCTACGATCCAAATCAGATCATTTTGCACCTCACTCAAATATCTTAATGGCTTCCTACTCTCTACAGAATAAAAGCCAAACCTCATATCTGCTCCTTCTTTCACATGAACCCAGTGTGTGAGCTTTTAGCTATATTGGTACCCAAAGGCACCATACTTTCATGCCTACAAGACTGCACGCAGTCCTCTCTGCCTAGCCTCCTCTTTTCTGTCCAGTGAACTCCTACACAACATTCCCCTTTGTGACCACTTCCAGACAGTAACCAGAGCGTTTGTACAAATCTCTACGCCACGTGCCAATTTTTTGTTTATCCAAACCGAGGCTAGAACTTAGCCTAGGTTTTTTACTGACAATATACCTTTTCACATGCACAAACCAGCTGTCCTCTTAAATTCTCCACTAAAGGTTTGAAGAGAACCTCCCTAATTCCCATGGAGATCTATAACGCTTTAAATCCTGTTCAAAGCAGGTCACCAGATCCACCAATTTCTAATGGGTTATTTGGACTAAACTTCTCATCAGTCTCATTTCATTTTGTTTTTTTCAGGACATTTTCTTCTTTTTAAAAAAAAATATTTTTTTTATTGATTTCAGAGACAAAGGGAGAGGGAGAGAGAGAAAAAGATAGAAATATCAATAATGAGAGAAAAATCATTGACCATCTGCCTCCTGAATGCCCCTCACTGGGGATTGAGCCCACAACCCAGGCATGTGCCCCTGACCAGAATAAAACCTGGGACCCTTCAGTCTGCAGGCTGAATCATAAAAGGAAATTTTAATAAATCTCTTTTCCAGTCAGGGCTGGGCAACCCTGGTGTTGGCCTCAATCCACAAAGGTGAAATAAGTCAATCAGTGAGAGGAAAGAAATCAGGCCTCTCATCCAACACCGTAACAGCACCATCTGTGGAAATGCTAATTATCCTTCTAGCTCCAGTGCCTTTTCTTCCCACACTCCATCATTACCTTGGCATTGTCTCCATAACAAGGGTACCAAATGGCTTGAGAAAGTACATCGGTACCTTTAATGCCCAAAGCTAGCTTTGAGCACTTCTGTCATTTATTATTTTACTGAGTTACAAATGGCTTCCCCATGTTTATTTGTCTTTTCTACCCTGGCAGGCTTGGCCTTAAGTCACTGAGGATGCCTCCCGTCCCAGTTAAGATTCTGGCTGTAAAACTGCCTGGCCAAACAATGTCTATCGTTTGTCAATCATTAGGATGCCAAATCACAGGTAAGGTGATGATATCCTTCCCTGCAGATGAAAAGGGAACAGCTATAAAGGACAATATTTCCCACTGGCGTAATGAAGGCTCCCAAACATCTGGTAGCTCTAGCAGAGAGTGATGAGGCATCACTGCCAGCTACAGCCACCATCAGAGAAATGGTGTGTGGATCAGAAAACAGACAGGCAGGCTGGCACCAAACTAGGTACCGCAGTGCTCAGAGTCTAATTAAAAAAGCATTGTAAGGAAAACAAGATGGTGCTTTTTTAGCATCCATTCTCACTCAAAACACCAGTTGCTTTCAGAGGTCTTCAAGGAATTCACTCCTTTTGCCACATCTCTCAAAGAGGAAACTATCAAAGGAGTGATTTTTCAAGTGTGAGACTACCTCTTTAGACACAATCACATTCTCAGTGGTGTTTCACGGAATTGGCGCTAGAAGTTTGTCTACTGGGAGGCCAATTTGTGTCATTAGTTCACAGCACCAAAAATACAGATGGGGAAACACAGCTCTTAACTGTTACTTTTAGATTCAAGGTCAACCCCAAGGACTTACATAAAAACAATGCATTCCTTACGGGCCCCTACTAAAATTAAGCATGCCAGAACTCTAGCACCTTCAGAATATGAGTATGAAAGTAAAATTTTGGGGTGGGAAGAGGCATGCCACTTACATATCCAAGTGACCAACTCACCACTGACTTTCCTTGTGGTATTTGCTGATGGAAATTTTGCTAAGTGCCAAAATAACTAATTCCTGCCTTGTATCCTTCGAGGATTCGTAAGACTGCATATGGCAACAGAAGAGTTGGTCCATGTTGCTTCTCCCTCATACCTGCTGAGTTTCCATATGCAGATTACTAAATCCTAGAAGGCAAGGGAGAGCCTGGCTCTGAGTCAATGTAACTTGACCACCTTTACAGGAAAGGAATTCAGAGGGACTCAGGTAAGTAATCTGTGAACATAACCAAGACATAAATGGCAGCTGACCCAAGAATTAAATTAAATAAAGTATAGGCTGCAGTTCACTGAACAGTTGTTATGTTTAGGGCACTGTACTAGCCATAATCGTGAGAGATAGAACATAATGAGCCCCATTTATGAGGGGAGTTCAGAGAAGTTAAGCAACTTGACTCAAGTCACACAGCCAATAAAGACAAAATTAGAAATATGACCTGTCATGTCAAAGACCACTCTCCTTTTAGCTTGCTCTGCTCTGATGAGGAACTGAGACACCAGACAGAAGGAGTTAACTGGAATAACTCCACCACCCACCCCAGGCTCTGCCTGAGGACTCCTAGAACCCTGCTGATGCTTTCATACCTCCAGTCAGTTCCATGGTTAGCTTTTCATTTTCAATCATCTTCTTCTTTTCTTCTAGCTCAGCAATCAGGTTCTCTTTCAGCTCAACCTTCTTATCTTCAAACTCTTTTACTGCTGCCTTCTTTTCTTTAATGTAATTTCTTTCCACTTGTTCAGTCTGAGCAAAAGAGAAACACAGAATAGGGGTACATAGCTCTGGCAGCCAGGGCTCCACCTTGAAGTCTGGCAAAGATTTCAAGAACAAAGAAAATACCTTTTCTATCATAGAAAGAGGAGAAATAGCTGGACACTCTCACACACACACACAGCTGCAGAAATGGGGGTCTCTGGGAGCCAGTTTTCCAATGAATGGGTAAACTTAAACCAACTTCTGCTTGTTTTCATGAGTGTACCCCACTTGCTACTTAGATATTTTCTCTCTTCCACATCTTATATTTTATGGCATGTGTTAAAATAGAACATTAATATCTTAACGATAGTAAATAAACCCTTTAATGACTTAATATCAAAGGAAAACAGTACATTCCAGATGAAATGAAATATCTACATTCAAAATTAACTGAGTCAAGATAGCAGGAGTCACTGTATGTTTTGATATTTATACTAAGATAAAGATCAACTAGAGTAGACCATTTACTAGGTCTCTGAACCCCAAAGTACTAAACACTGAAATTATATTAAATAAAAACTGCATAAACACCCGTTTTCTAAATCTCACCAGGGGGCTTATGGTGGGCAGCGGCTATGGATCATGTGATCCTTCAGGCTGTGACTACACGTGTTGTAATGACTTGAGTACAAAAGTGGTTTCCAATAATGTGGCTCTGATAAACCATGACCTTCTCACACTCATGTGTGACTCTGATAAACTCACAGCCCCTACTACTCCCCCACACTCCACATAAGCCACTCTGGGAGCAGTACATCCTTCAAGTTTAAGGTAGCCCTTGTCCCTGGCCTCACACAGACCAGCACTAGATGTCTGCTCAATAAAAGTTTTAATCCATCTTCCCTGCTAACCCAGAGAGTCTTAGCTATAGAACTGAACTACTGAGCCAATTCAGAAATGGGGCTCCTTCGAGGACCAAGACAACAAATTATTAGACCATTATAATTCAGACATACTCCCAGGGAAACAGCTTTAATGTGAGATCAAAGTCAACAAGAAAGCCCTCAGGGGTCAATGTCCCCTAGTCCCCTGTGACAAGCAGAGGCTGCCCAACAAACAAATGAACAGAAGGAATTTGATTTGAGACCACACGTCCTTTTGCCAGACAGAACAGTGACAAAGGGTTCCAGCTGGAGGCTTCCCAACTATCTGTTTGGTGACAGAAGGAAAGGCCGCCAGTTGGGAGAGCAAGATTCCAGTCTGAGAAAGAGCCTGCAAACCCAGAAGATCCATGGTACTTACTTCCAGCTGCAGGAAGAGTTCTGAAAGAGATAAAAACGTGCAATTAGATTCACTAGGCTGTGTCACCTTTCTAGACAGTATGCTAGGATTCATTTAGGAGCAGTAATTGCTTTCTGAAAGCACGATTACACAGAGCAAATGTTTTCATCAGTAAAGTGCTGATATACATGAAGGGAAGGATGCAAGAAGCACTTGTGTCTACTTAAAAGTTGGCCCTGAATAGCATCAGCTCTGGCAGTTCTGTCCAAGGGCAAAAACAAGCAGCAGGCACCAACCACCTCTACAAAAAAAAAAAAAAGGGATCCCTTCTTTCTCTCAGTACATATCCTCCAACACTCCCACAGGGCAGGATGGGGCAGGAAGCAGCAATGCACGTACTCCAGAAACAGAGTCAGCATTGATGTTTTTAAAGTACTGTGTGATGGGCTCTATGTGGTAAGGAAGGACAATCCCCAGGAAGGCAGAGGCTTGTGCCCTCCTGGGCTTTGCTCCCAGCCCGCCAAGCCTCTGTTCACAGCCATGCCTCCACCAGCAAGGCCCTCTGGTCTCTCTGGTTCACTTCCAAGTGTCAGATCTAACGCAGCCTCCTCCATCAGGCCTTTCCTGAGGACCCTTCACTCATCAACCTCCTCTCAGACACCTGAAGGTATCTCCCCACAGTATTCAACAGCTTACTTAGCACCTCTTAGTGCCAGGGGTTAGAACTGTTAATCCAGCAGCTTCCCCGCCACGAGATTGAAAGGCCTTCTGCAAAATTCAGAACTTGGAACGAAACAGGTCCCTGGCTTCTAATATTTCCTGGGTGACACTGGAGTCGCTGTATAAGGTTCACTAAGATTGCTGGCTGACCGCCTCTCCAGGGGATGCTGTCCACATTTCCCCCGAGTGTCCTTTGCAAATCTGATAAATCCTATGGCTCTATTCCCACATAAAAAAAAAAAATCACATATGCACATTCACACATATGTCTTAAGATTTTGAGTTTCAGAAACTACAGATTAAGGATCTAAATGTCAAATAACAGTTGTTTAGTGAGAAAGATTAACTGAGCAGAGGGACAAGCCACTCATTATTTTCTAACCCCTGCCAAAAGCCCTGATCACTGGAAATCCCTGGGCACAAAAACACAGCCAACCCAACATGCTTACTCCTAAGATTGCTTCATACTTGGTCCACTCATGAACAGGCCAGACACCTGAGGTCTGTGCCATTCTGCGAAATTACGCCTGCACCAACAAGTCAAACTGACAATTAGCACTTAGAGTTGGTGGCAGTTTTAAAGCAGCCAGACAACAGACACAACCAAAGCAGGTGGATATCTCTGCATGGAATGTGCTTTTTAAAGCTCAAGCCATGACTAATTTAGGAGCCCTTCTGCATATTTATCGGGGTGGGAGGATGCTTAGGAAAGATCATGTGAGGACAGAGTTGAGAATGGAATTAGAAAAATAACTCAATGCTCACCCTGCAGTTCTAGCTTAAGAAAGTTGCTCACGTCAATTTTTTTTCTTTACTTATACCTTAAACCACATGTGTCAAACACAAGGCCCGCGGGCCAAATCCATCCCGCCAGGCCTTGCAATGTGGCCCGCACCGCGCTGTCATCACTGCACTCCGCTGCATTTCCATCACAATGACAGTTTATGACTGTTCAGTAAACCATTCGGCCCGTGATTTAGGCTGGATTTTATATTTTGGCCCCTTCTCTGATTGAGTTCGACACCCCTACCTTAAACCAATTCCGTGAGGTACGTTCCCCTCTACAATGGGCAAACTAAGGCTCCAAGAGCAAATACCTGCTTAAAGGCACAAGACACAAAGTGATGGAAGACCTTGACCTAAGGACCTCAGTCTCCCCGGAACCACCTCCTTTCCCTGCTGAAAGGGAACTCCAGGAAGACAGATTTTTAAAGCTATCCCAAGGAAATTCCTCAGGAACTCAGAGTGAAAGGGGTGTGGGGTAATCATAGGGGCAGGAAGGATGTAGACAGGCAGAGGTCTAATGACTATATTTCCATTGTCCCAGCACCCCTCACGCCTTCAGCTCTTTTCCACCTGTTGGTGTCCACTGAGCATCTACTCACTGAGGGAGAGAAGGGTTCCATCAACAGAAAGCTGGGAAGTCACTGGATCAGAAAGAAAGAGGACAGCATCTAGACCTCACTTTAGAACCCATCACTTTTACCACTGCAGAAACAAATACCACACCGCACTCAAAATAAATGCTAGCTGATGAGAAGCTTCAAATTTAACACAGCCCACCGGTGTGGCTCAGTGGTTGAGTGTCGAACTATAAACCAGGAGGTCAGGGTTTAATTCTGGGTCAGGGCACAAGCCCGGATTGCGGGCTCAATCCCCAGGAGGGGGCGTGCAGAAGGCAGCTGATCAATGATTCTTTGTCATCATTGATGTTTCTATCTCTCTCTCCTTCTCCCTTCCTGTCTGAAGTCAATAAAAATATATTTTTAAAGATTTTCTGTAAACACAGAAAATGACTACTTTAAGTAGTCATCACATCTTACTTTTTGCATGACTCTTTATTTAACTTATACCAGTAATGTCCCTTCATGTACTCTTTTGGATATCTTTGTCAATGAAACAGTGAGTTTCCTTAAGTCAAGGACAATGTCTTACACTACTTCATATTGCTCACAAACTTAGATGTAGCAGATGCTCAACAACTGTTTGCTGAATGAATACGTTTACTGTGTATGACAGACCAAAAGCATATTTTTTTTCTCTAAATGTTTATAATACCTGAGAGAGAAAAGCAAGAGCACCCTCTTTCCTCCCAGAGCACAGAATACTAGAAGCAGCAAACTCTAAACAGGAGTGAAACAACCTACAATCGTTTTCCCTGTCAGCTCCTCTGATCATCCATTAAGCCAGCCATGCAGACCCAACAAAGAATGTGTGATTCTTGGGGTAACCGGGAGGATATACCCTGACTGCAAGGAGCAACCACTAACAACCTCAACTATGATTCTTTTTTTTTTTTTTTTAATATATTTTATTGATTTTGTACAGAGAGGAAGGGAGAGAGTTAGAAACATCAATGAGAGAGAGTCATTGATCAGCTGCCTCTTGCACACCCCCTATTGGGGATATGCCCGCAACCAAGGTACATTCCCTTGACCTGAATCGAACCCGGGTCCCTTAAGTCCCCAAGCCAACGCTCTATCCATTGAGCCAAACCGGTTTTGGCTCAACTATGATTCTTGATTGGAAAAAAGGATGAAGCCATTTTACACAACTGCACCTTTGAAGTCTCTTCCCTAAAACTCTCACTTCAATGAGATATTTGAAATATACTTTGGAGAAAAACTCTTATGGCCACATTACACTGACGATCAGCAAAAGGAAGAAAATTTGAAGATGATGTAGTTCCATTTAAGATAGTGGCTTACCTGCATTTCGTATCCTCTCTTTGTACTGCTGATCTAGTTTTTTCATCCTCTTCTGATACTCCTGTAACGTACCTGATTTTGAGATTTAGAAAATAAAAAATTACTCTCCACCTTGGTTCCTAAAATTGCTTTCTAGCACTAACAGTAACTGCCTTATTAACATCAGAATGAAACTCGAACCAAGAAAAGGCACACTGGACTCTGGCTCTCAAGGAAGACACAGCGGAAACCACCCAAACACAGAGAACTGCGACTCTCCAGCAAGTGAGAAGTTAAGAAAAGATGCCGGCAACCTCAAAAGGATTCTGATCACTTGCTGCTAGAGTTTGAATCAGTGGGCTTTCCTTTCCTGGAAAGACTTAATTCTCCTGCAATAAGATTAGGTCTAGACCAATGCCACCTAGAACTTTCTCTGCAATGATGGAAATATCCTATCGCACTGCCCAATATGGTAGCCACTAGTCACATATAGCTACTAAGCACTTGAAATGTGGCTAATGCAACTGGGGAACTGAATTATTAATTTTATTTAATTAAATGTAAATAGCCACATGTGGCTGGTGATAGTAATGGATAACTCAGGTTTAGATTCCTATCAAATCTCTACTCAATTCATTGCTTTTTCCAAAAACTGTTCGTTATGAGGATCCCAATTAGTATGGGAAATGTTTCCTAATCATAATGAGAAAACAGGGTAAGGTAAATCCATGCTCATTATCATTTAGCTTAAAAAGATTAATACAATTTTATTTATTTTCTGGAAACACCTCTCCTACAAAATGTTTAGCAGTTAGGCAGAGTAGTCTTCAGCTCATGCCTTACAGAAGGCCTTAGTGAGATTTCAAGTAGTTTGAAGACTGCACTTTACTGAGACAGCCAAATTTTAAATCACTCCAACAGAAAAGTGAAATACACAGAAGGTTTATAGTATTAAGAAGTATATTTAGAAATGAAAGATTAAATCACACACCAACCTTCCTGCAATTGCTGTAACTGTCTCTTGAGAGAAGCTAGTTTATCCTGATACATCCTGCAAAGAAAGGAAAGCCACAATGAAAGACAAAAATATTCAGTACTCTATTCCAAAATAATCTACACACAGGAATTACCTGGGTTATTCTAGGAATCTCATCAGGGTCCCTTAGCTGGTTTAAAATGTACCAGCAGCTAAAGGGACCAGAAAGGGATAGGATTCTGTATTCTTAAATCATGTCCCTATTTTGTAGATCCTCCTGTATCCCAACTTTAGAGAATCAGTCTAAAATCTGTAAGTATAAGGACACGCAGATTTTAGTAAGTGACAATGATAAACAGGCAAGAACATATAAAAAAATTTTGAAAGTGTGAGACCATTTTCTTCTGGACTTCAAGCATAAATAACACACACACACACCCCAATATAGGAAAGGCATTAAATATAGATCTTACCTCAACTCTACAATTAGATTATAAATTCCAAAGGAGTAAGATTATGCCTGCACCCTGTTGCAATCTGGAACCCCTCAGGGGATGCCCACCTGCCCGCTTAGGCCCGCTCCTCAAGGGGATCAGGCCTAAGCCAGCTGGCAGACATCCCTCTCGCAGTCCGGGACTCCTCACTCCTTACAGCTCAGCTCACTGCTCCTTTGCACTGTCGCAGAGGCAGGAGAGCCTGGCTTCTGGCTGAGCAGAGCTCCCTGTGGGAGCGCACTGATCACCAGGGGCAGCTCCTGCGTTGAGTGTCTGCCCTCTAGTGGTCAGTGTGCATCATTGCAACTGGTTGTTCTGGTTGTTCCACCATAACTGTTGCTTAGGCTTTTATTATATAGCCATGTAAGCACTAAGTTAATTTTCATATCATTTTTAAAAGCACTACTTTTTTAGGATCAGGAAAATAGTAGTAATTCAGTAACAAATGTTAACAAGTTAAACATCATGACCATCACCAGTGACTGACATTATACTTTCCATCCAGACTAGTAAGTCACTGGTGCCGCCAGCATATCGGTGAAATTGTATATCGGGGGCTAAACAGACAGGAAGAAAAAACAGGCTTGGCGCTTAACGTGTTAAAATGCATGATTTATTTGCAGCCCCAGCCAGATAAGAACACATAGCACACACAAAGTGAAAGAATGCAGTGTGTTATTTTTCCCCCTCATACTGAATGGATTATAGGCAATTATCCACTCTGGCAAGTCTGTTTGAATGGCAGATTCCACATACAAATCACATTTCAGCAATATTTTTGCTTCTACCTAAAAAAACACCCCCAAATTCAAAAACAAGATTGGCAACCTGAAGAAAAAAAAATAGATTACTCTCCCAACAGATATAGACATAACAGCCTTTGGGTTAGCCAAGTAAAGGCTACAAACACACCCCAACTATCTATAGGATGAGGAAGAAGTAGGCAGGATCTAAGAATTACTTAGGATGTCTGATTCTTTTAGGAAAATTCTGATGTACTCTCAATGCTCATCTTAAATCATTCAAGGCATTCCATTGTAATCACAATTACTTCTATATCATCAAATATTAAGGAGCACATTTAATTATTGTCTCTAAAGAATGTTTAAATATGTCAAGTACAGGAGGAAATGGTGTGTAAAGTACACACAAGAAGTAAGTATATGGAACCTAGTGTATTACATTTTCCACCACATTGAGGGTACAGAAAACGAATGAATTCTCAGTCTGTCTTTGAAAGGGAGTATTAACACACTAGAGATCTGGTGCAGGAATTTGTGCAAGGGGAGAGAGGGGGGAGGGAAGGTCCCCTCAGCCTGGCCTGCGCCCTCTTGCAGACCAGGAGCCCTCAGTCCGACATCCTTAGCGCTGCTACGGAGACGGGAGAGGCTCCCACCACCTGCCATTGCACTCACCAGCCATGAGCCTAGCTCAGGGCTTCTGGCTGAGCGATGCTCCCATGCACTGACCACCAGGGGGCAACTCCTGCGTAGAGTGTCTGCCCCCTGGTGCTCAGTGCACGTCAGTGACCTGTGTTCCACCATTTGGTCGATTTGCTTATTATTAGCCTTTTATTATAAAGGATTGAAGAAGTAAATAACAACAACAAAATTCAGATTCCAGAAAGGAACAGGTATGTGAGAATACATTTCAAATGGGTTAAGATAAATCAGTAAAATGCCTGTAGAGAATAAAAATAACTTAAAAAAAAAAAAAAAAAAAAAAAAAAAAAAGCAAGCACAGTTTCAGGGATGAAGCTATGAGAAAAAGCATATGACATAATCTCCCTTTATTCAGTTGTGCTGGTTAAATTTTAACTGAATTATCCCTTTGGGTTCCAACGATTGAAAAAGATGATAGAATCCAGAGGATGGTCACAAAACTTCTGCAAATAAGACCTATTAAGGAAAGGAAATGTGAACTGCCAAGTTAATAGATTTTAAAAAGTCAAATCAAGAGCCTGAAATACACTTATCGGGTTTTTGTTTTTGTTTTTTATGATGCCTTGCATCTGCATTTATGATAAAAGTGAGTAGTTTTAGTTTCTCTGCAGATACTTAGTTGTGGCTCTGATTTAGAAAATGAGAGGAAAGCTAGGGTGAGATAGTGTGATAAGGAGGAAAGCACTGGGGTAAAAAAGTCCTGCTCTCCAATCCCAGTCTCCCTGAGCCCTCTGGAATCTACCATACTATCCAGCTCAGCAGTCACCAACCTTTTGGACCTCATGGACCACAAGTCAGCAGACCACCGGTTGGCAACCACAAACCTAGCTAATACTTGCTGGGGTCATGCCAATCTGAGAATCATATCATTTACCCTCTCTGGTGCTTTTCACATCTTTAAAAAAAAAAAGAAGAAAAAAAGTGGGATATGGTAGTTTCCAATTACTATTAATACTAGTATATGGCCTTATTATCAAAGGTTCTTATCCCTCAAGATCTTTCTAGCATATCTTCAAAAGATTCTTATAACAAGAAGACTGATTAAATGTGACAGATTTAAATGGGGTAAACTGCACACATATACATTGTTTTTGGAAACACTATGGTCAAAGCCATACACACAAGGTCACTATAGAGATTTCCCGGCTAATTCTATATTCCAGATAGAAATCTAAGTCATACTCACTGTTCCTTCATTTCTACATAGTCTTCTTCATCATGCTTTGCCAGGTCAGTTTCGCTAGCATCCTCAGTGTCTACGTAAAATCAGAGAAGAAGGGTTTGTTAAAATCATTTATAGAGTTGGTATCACCTGACACAGTAAATTTCTGGTAGTGTTCCTTTTAAATGAATTCTAGTCAATGCAGACCTGAATGAAGCCATCAATAAAAAATGTATTGCAGTTACTTCAGAAAAGAAAATGCCATTTCCAACTTCTAAACGGTCAGATTTACACAAAGAGCTTGCTTTTATCTCAGGTGCAGCTAGAGGACAAGGTGCATCGGACACAGGCAGCGTGGTCCAGGCAGCTGCTTCCGAGAACACTCAAAGGAGATGTGGGTGTATGACTGGAAAACCACAGGCAAGCCCTGGTCACTACCTCAAGACAACCTACTATGCGCATGCTCTCCTGGTATACGCCCAGTCTGAACCCGTAACAGATTTTACGTCTCAAAGGAGCTGAACTCAAATAACTGAAATATTTTTAAAAGTTACAACTAAAAGGAGACAAGATGATCACACGGAAACTTTCAGTACATTTTCAATGTTGTTCTTAGAATAAGCAAATGGCTGGAGTGTCTACATGATTTCAGCAGCCCTACTTAAGGAGGGGGAAAAATCAATTTTTTGCTTCATCGCTCCCCCTGGTGAGCATTCAAAGCAGTGCAAGTGACAAGTGATTCCCATTCACAATCTCTGGTTAAGCTTAGCCTTCAAATACGGTTTAACCAAATGCAATTCGTTCCCTCAACTTTGTATCTGCATATGCAGCTGCCTTTTGAAAGGATGTTACAGGTCCAACGCTCTGTCCTCCTCCAGTCAAAAGACGTCACTGAGTGCCCTGTGCCAGCCACACTACTTGGCACTTGGGGGACTGAGATGAATAAAACCTACTCCTGGTTCCAGAAGCTCTCGCCTTCTGCCCCACAGCCCTATTTGCGCCAAAATATTCCACCCATATATCGGTCTCCATCTTCTCCCTTGCTGTCTGTTTCTTCACCTTTCCTCCTCCTCCAGCCAGCTCCTTCAATCCCACCAAAAGTTTTCCTCACACTTGGCCAAAGTGTAAAACCCAGTTTGAAAAGCAAGCCTTGGAGAGGTAGGAATAATGCAAACAGCAGGGAACTTAAAAACACAACACCTGGGCCCCATTATTACGCAACTCCAAATCCCTTCCTTCCCCCAGGGTCTGTTTCCCCAGAAAGAGGGAGAGGAGGGGGGGGAAGAGAGAAAGGCGGAGTATTTCCTTAATACCAGGCTTTAAAGTGCCAGTTCAACACTTTATTTCCATGCCTCATTCAACCCTCGCACCTACACTAGGAAACCCCATTTGCTGGAGAAGTTGAGGCTCCTACACTTAACCAAGTTGTCCTTAAGACTCTAGGATCAGCCAGGACCAGTTTGGCTCAATGGATAGAGCGTCGGCTTGGGGACTGGAGGGTCCCGGGTTCGATTCCGGTCGGGGGCATGTATCTTGGTTGCGGGCATATCCCCGGTGGGGGGTGTGCAGGAGGCAGCTGGTCGATGACTCTCTCTCATTGATGTTTCTAGCTCTCTATCTCTCCCTTCCTCTCTGTACAAAATCAATAAAATATATTAAAAAAAAAAAAAAAGACTCTAGGATCAAAAGCTGGGTCGAGGGAGCCAAATTCACACCTCCATCTGACTGAGGCCAGGTCCCATCCTTTTAACCAACCTGTCCTGCACGCACTGGCACTGCCCAAACTAAGTCAGACTAAAGCATCCCCCACCCCCACCCCCAGCAATCTCAGAGGCCAAACTCTAGTCCTCATGGGAACTCCGAGGGGAGGGGCACTCAATGGAAGGCTTTCTCATTCCCACCAGTGAGGACCTGAGCTTCAGCCCGAAACTGTAGGGGAACGAGGGCAGGCAGAACCGAAAAGGGACCCCCAGCTGTGACAGCAGTTCCCCGGGTCCCTTCTCCCCACAACCGTGGGGTACACGGTGCCCAGCCGGAGCTCCCCGTGCCGTGAGGGAGCGGGTCGCCTCCCGGAGCCGCGGTCCGCCTCGCTGCCCCGAGCCCGCAGGTCGGGCCGCCCCTCTCCCAGACGCCCCCTCCTTTCCCCAGCGGTCCCGCCCCCTCCCCGGGCCGCCCGGCCGGCGGAGGGACGCGCCTTCGTCCGACTCGCGGCCCCGGCAGCTGCGCTCGTCGTCCTCCGCGCTCTCCAGCTCCTCGTCCTCCTCGGGGTAGTACTCCGGCGCCGGCGGCGTTCCAGTCGGGGCCGGGGCCGGGGCCGGAGCCAACAGCCCCGCAGCGCTCATGTCGCCTCTGGCCACAGCCGAGCGCGCCACCCGGGGACGGCGGCCGCCCGCCCTGCGAGCTCGACGCGCGCCAAGCGGCACCCGAGGGCGCCGACAACTTGAGAGGCGGGAGGCGCGGCGACCTCTCCCCCGTCTCCGCGAAGCCCGGCCCCTCGCGCCCGCGCTCGGCAACCGGGGCCTCGCTCCCGTGGCAACTTCCGGGTCGCAAGCTGCCCGAGGACCGCCTGACTCCGCCATCCTTCAGGGAATGGAGAGGTCGCCGGACGCCTCCTTCGCCTCAACCCCAGCGCCTTCATCGCCGCCTTAAAATCCTCAACGGGTAGCGGCTAGGGGCGGAGACAGAGTCTCTCCAGGCAGATCCAGGGGCAGGCCTAATCCCGGTCAGGACCCCGACGCCCAGAGGCAACTTCCGGAAACAGCCGCCAGGCGGCGCCTGGGGCCAGAGCCAAAGTGAGGAGCCTTAGCGGTGGGAGAGGCAGAGGGGTTGAAGGAAGGGCTCTTGCAGGTGGAGATGGACTGTCTCTTCTTTACCAGGAAGCAGGTGAACGACATTAAACCTTGACGTCTAGAGTTTGCGTGAGCATCCCGAAGAAAAGGTGCCTGGTTCGTCCCCGACTAATGGAAGCTTTATTGAGAGCTAAAATAAAGACAAGGATGCTGGTATTCCATCCTGGAGTCAACAAAAAGGATCTTTTCCCAGTCTCTGGGAGTCCTTTCTGTTTGTATAGGTTTACTCAATAAGATATTATACCGATTTCATAGACGAGAAAAGAGCTGCCACTTGCCTAAAAAAAAAAATGATAGCGTCCAGTCTGCCTTGTGTAGACTCAGAGCCAGGCCCAGTAGAATACAAATGCCTCATATTTCTTAGAATATTGGTGTGTGTTTTTTTAAGGTTCTCCCCAATCTAATAACTTGCTAACCAGCTCTCAAATGCCACATTTGCCTATAGGAGGTTCATTAGGCTAACTTCGGGAAGGTGCTGTGTGGAAACAGGAAACAAGAGAGCGGAATCAATGCATAAGCTGATTTGTTTGGTTCCCTCTGAGTAGAAGGGGACACAGTGTTACAAGCTTTATGTAAGGAACAAATTTATGATCTCCCTCCTCTAGTTGTGTGTAGCAAGAAAGGGGAAAGGAAAAAGACACCGAGATGTTTAATGGTTTGTCCAAAGTAACCCTGCTGTCTATGTTGCACCAAGTCTCCATAGAAAAAGTAACTCACATGTAGTGAAGTTGAATACAGTATAAAAACAGGGTGGAGCCAGAACCAGTGTGGCTCAGTGGATAGAGCATCGACCTGTGGACTGAAAGCTCCTGGGTTCAATTCTGGTCAAGGGCATGTATCCTGGTTTCGGGCACATCCCCAATAAGGGGTGTGCAAGAGGCAGCTGATCGATGTTTCTCTCTCATCAATGTTTCTAACTCTATTCCTCTCTCTTCCTCTCTGTAAAAAATCAATAAAATATGTTTTTAAAAAACAGGGCAGAAACCACTATTCTGATTCTCAGTTCCTTTGTGACCAAATTTATCTCTGAATTGGCCCTCATAGAGTCTTCTCAAAAGTGCAAAACCTTGTTCTCATCCCATTTGTCTTAACGTTTTTATTTTCTACCTTGTCTTCATTAAAATCTTGGCTATGTTTGTGAGGAATTTTTTCCCCCTAACAAAACTCAAGAATTTCCAGAATGGAATGCTGCAGTGTCTTTTCAGGAGTCCACAGATCTTCTGAAGCCCCTTCTAAATTAGAGTCATCCTTGCAGCTCACTGTTCTTCCATCTATAGATAAACTAAGATTTCAGAATTGTCTCCTATCCAAAGGATGATGTCATTTTCTTTCTTTATGCTGTTAGATCCAACCTAAATTATTTGTAATCAACTATATTGAGCAACTTGAGTTCCTATCAGTACCAGTAATCATAGACCAGAAAAAGCACCAACAATTTAGAAATTAGAATTCATTGCTATAATGAATTTAAAAAAAAAAGAGTTGATTTCCTTGTTAATTGGCTTCCTTTCAAGACACTTGGGTTTTTATCATGCTTATGTTTTATTTCTATTTTTTCGATTGCAAATAACATGTTAATAGTCATGTTTCTTTTCTATATGAATAGATACAACTGAATAGTCGGGTGGTGAAAACTCACCCCATTCCTTCCAGTCCCTATTGCCAACTTCAGAATTGGTAAGATGAACTCTTACAAATAACTCTTTAGAGGAGGAGGGCCTACTTATGTTAATATAATTCTTTTTGGACAGCTTTTCTAGGCCTACAGAAATCAAGTACCGTCAAAACGGAAACTTTACCACCTTGAAGTGTCTCCGCATCCCTTCCCCACGTGGCACACAGTCACACTGCTCAGAGATAGCTACTTCAGAACTGTTCCTACCAGCCCTGTCTTCACAGGCCCTCTCTGCATACCCTGATACTCAAATTTAAACATAAAGGAGGAGCATCGTAATTGGAATGGGGCGTGATTTTAAAATACTAGGGAAAATACAGTGTTTAGAACACAAATTTGTCAGTGGGAGCTAACACACACACACACACACACACACACACACACAAAGTTAATGGTAAAGCGTTTTCTGAGAGTGAAGTCCTATATACACATCTGACAAGGCTTAGGATCAAATTGTGTTTCTGAAATGAAACCATTTCTTCATAAACACTGAGTTGTCAAACTCCATAGTTTGACATAGTTTTCAGTTTCCTGTATTTTTAGTCAACATAAACAATTCCACAAAAATAGAAAGAATGGCTGTGTAACACGATGCACCCCCGGCAGGCACCATCTTTCACAGTGGGTCGAGATGGGTCTCTGGTATCACAGGTTGCCCTTGGGTCAAAGTTTAATGTACTTTGGCCATTAGTTCACACACAACCATTAAACCATGTGGCCCTGAAAAAGAGTACCTCAAATAGGCATGCTAAGATCTTGCTAAAGCTAACAGAGTTTCTCTTGTCCAGTTCCTGTTCCGCCTATATAATGATTATCAAAACCCACAAACTGATTATTTCTAAAGTTTTGTCCTTGTACCCATCAAAATGTGCCCCGCCAGTGTTGAACATTTGGTTGTGCAGAGCACGCATCTAGTATTTAGATTTCTTTTTCCAAGAGCATTAAGTTGACGTCTGCAATACAAGGTAGAGCAATTCCTTTGACAAAAATGGGGGGGGGGGAGAGAGAGAAAAAAAAAGTTTAAATCCAGGAAATATTTACAAGTGGGGAAAATACAAAAAACGACTACATTCATTTCCGGCAGAATTACTCAGAAGGCTGTGCAAGGTCTAGTGGAAGAATGGGGTCCTCCTCCATGACTCTAGCAGGGTGGTCCGGGGGACCTCGGCCGCTGGGAGTCTCCCAAGAAAAGTAAAGGCGCTTGGAGGAGTGCCGTGAACTTTGACCGCGGCGCTGCACAAACAAAAATGACCGCACCCCAGGCGGGCCTGCGGGCAAGTGAAGTTGCGAGGTCTTCCGCGTCCAAAGAAACCCCGCCCCGCCTCCTCCTGCCCCGCGGTGGGCTCCACCAATCCGCAGGCGCCATCGACCGCTCGGCTTCTCAGGCACCTTCAATCGAGTACCTATATCCGGGCCCCGGCCAGTGCCCCGCGATCAAGGAAGGTCAGTAGAGAGCCTATCAGAGTCGAGCTGGGGGCGTGGCCTGGGGGCGGAGGGCGGGCGGCGGGAGCCCGCGGGGCGGGGCGCGCTCGGCGCAGTCGGGTGCGATTGGCCACCCCTGGCAGGAGCCGCACCTCGGACAGCAGCAGCGGCGGCCGCGGGAGGGTCCGTGAGGCGCCGGCGGCGGCGGGGTCCTGCGGGAGTGAGTGGGACGCGGCGCAGAGACCGCGCACGGAGGCTCCGCGCGGCCGGCCCCTGCCCTCAGCGACGGGACTCCGGGGCCCTCCCGGGGACGAGCGGCTGAGGAGCGACCGGGGAACAAGTGTGGGGAGGAAGCGGCGGCGGCGGCGGCGGCGGGCCGGGTGGTGACAGCCGGTCTGAGGTGAGCGCACCGGGGCGCGGGGCTGTGACAGCGGGAGCCCGGGCGAGGGGACCCCGGGCGGGACGAGGTCGGTGCGGACCCGAGCGAGGGGAGTTCTGGAGCGGGTTTGACAGTCCGGACTGTGGAGAACAGACCCCGAGAGGGGATCAGGGGGGACCCTGCGCGGGACAGGGAACGGGAGTCTGAGGGGACCCCCGCGAGGGTCCGGGACCGCGGGTCTGGAAAGAGGGGACCCCCGCGACGGTCCGGGGCCGCGGGTCTGTAAACAGGGGACCCCGAGAGGGAGCGGGACCGCGGGTCTGGAAAGAGGGGACCCCGAGAGGGAGCGGGACCGCGGGTCTGGGGGAGTTCGCGCGGGGCCGGGACGGGTGTGAGGAGGGAGAGTCCCCTCGAGGGGTGGGACCGCGAGTGGAGGGAGGCCCCCGAGGGAGGCCGATGGGGTCGGGATAGCGGGTCTGAGGGCAAAGGGCACCCGGAGAGGCCCAGCAGATGGAGGGGGACTGGCCCCCCGAGAGGGAGCGGGACCGCTGGCCTGGGGGTGGGGGCCCGGAGGGGCCGGGGCCGCGCTGGAGAGGGCAAACGGGCTGGGGCGTGGGAGCCGCTGGGCGGGGACGAGGGGACCGGCTGCGCGGGGTCCGCTGCCAGCGCCTCTCCCCGCGGGTCGTGTGAGGGGCGCGGGGAGCCGCCCCGGGGCTCCGGGGGACTCGGGGGGTCAGGGATTATGTAATGGACCGTCTAAGTGGCGCGCACGGGCAAGCGGGAGGGTCCGGCGGGAGCGCCGAGGTCTGGGCGCTGCGGGGGACGCCCCTCCATTCATTCCGGGACCTCGGCGTGGCCGCGGGGAAGCGAGGGCTGCGTGGGCTTCTCCGCTCGTCCCGCTCCAGCCGCGGGGACCGCGACCCTGTTGGAGACGCCCGCGTGGGGCTGGTCAGGCTGTTTATTTCCACGGACCCCATATTGCTCCCTGTGGGTCCACAGGGGCCGGAGAAACTTTTTCCCGTTGGGCAGCCCCTTGGCCCAGTGCCTCCAGGGCGGAAGCAGGGGACGTGCGGGAGTTGCAGGCTGAGCCTCGGTGCGCCGCGGGCGGTGGAAAGTCGGACGCGAGTTGAGATGAGCCGCTGGTGTTGCTCCACGGACAGCGCCTTCCAGTTAGACTTCTCTTCCCCAAAGCTGCCAGCCCCCAGCTCCAGGCGTCATCC